ATGGAAAGCGGGGGAGGAGGGGCGCAGGTGACTTGATAGAAAAATGCCTTCCATGTTGATAACAGAAATATAATGAATAAATATGGGAGCTGCATTAGCCTGGTGATGCTCTACTTAATTTTTTTCTGCAAATTTCCAGCCAATATCTCAATGTCTGAAATTCGTTCTTCTCTGAGAACACCGCCTCATACCTGGAAAGCAAGATTCAAGATTTCTCTTTTTCTCCATAGAGAATATTTCCCCAGTTACTCCAGGGACACGCTTTTCCACCTGGACTTCATTTCTGTTAACTCTACTGACTCTCATAAAATGGACTAAACTTAGTTTTGCTGTTCACTTCTCCGTAAAAATTCCATTCCCATGTATCATGTCTAGCCTCCTTTGTTAAACTTATTAGCACCACAGTGGCCAAGCCTGGCTCCGAGGGCAGAGGCGCACGCAAGATCTGAAAAGTCCATCAGAGAAGTTCAGGTCTCTCCCTCGGAGACTGGCTTAGCGGCCAATCCAAGTCTTTAACAGGAATCTGGGAGTTAAGAGCCCCTTTAAGCCTCATCTGGATCTATTTTTCCAAAAGTAGCACAGGCCTCTCTTTGGTATTTTACAAAACATGGCTTTTCATCCTGACTGCAAGCAGGCGGTTGGGCGCCCTGTGGACCCATCCTGGAAATATTATGTTGGCGCAGCAGCAGAGGCGGTAGCTGAAAGTTGAATGAAAAGTCTGGATCCTGCTCTGGGGAACTTCAAAGTAGGCAAACCTGCCCCCATTGTGTTTCTCCCTTAAACATCATGGAGTCTCAGGGCAGAGATTCTTCCGTCTCTGTCTTGCAAGAAGGCACAGCTGCTTTTGCTGCCCACAGCTCTTGTCTTCCACAGGCCGAGGAAGGTGGGAGAGGCTGGGAGAGAAACTGGCTTCCTCCCTGGGCCCGAGCACCCCCAATGGACTGGTGTGCACCAGATCCTCCGGTCATGCTTTGACTGTGGGGATGATGTCGGAGTTTCCATGAAATGGGAATGCTTACTTTTGAAATTGCCCTGGCATGAGATCGTGTTGGCAATTAAATGAACAAACCCCTTCAAAAGATGGCTCCACCACAGTCAAAATGTTATAAGAGAACTAGAATGACATTTGGTTAGTGGGTCATAGGTCTAAAAAGGAAGGTAAATCCAAAGAAAATAGTGTCTGAGAAATGACAGCCAGTGGGGAGGTAGGCTGGCATGAGGGAGGGTGAGGAGGGACCTCAGGACACCCTGTACCTCTCTGACTGCCCATGGGCCTGTGGGCCATAAGAAACAACAAAGCTTTCTTAAATGAAGTTTAATGCTGTATTCACCTTGGCTCCCTAACTGAACAAGTTCTCATGTTTGCATTTTACCTTGTCTAGGTGAATGCTGCCATGCCTACACATACCGTTTCCAGTTTGAGGATGCTTTTTAAAAACACACTTGTTTTTTTCTACAATAGACACATTTGCCCATTAAGGAAATACTAACTGGGTAGCTTCCTCTGCCTGTTATTTTGCCAATGAATCATTATTTTTTAAAAAATTATCTTTATTGTTAAAAGTATTACAGATGTCCCTCTTTTTATCCCATTGACCCCCTCCAACCCCCACCCCTCCCAGGCCTTCACCACACTATTGTCTGTGTCCATGGACAATGAATATTTGCATACAATTTCCCTTGGTTAATCCCCAACCTTCCCTCTGAAATGCATCAGTCTTTTCCACGCTTCCATGTCTCTGGATCTATCTTATTCATCAGTGTGTATTTAGTTAGCCAACAATTTGGGTTATAATCATTACTGTTGTCCTAAAACAACAAATATTTGCTGAGCTTCTGCTAGGGACACAATGCTAGGCACTCAAGTGTGCGCAGAATACACACAAGTGAATCTCTGCTGATTCAAGAATCCAAATTGGCTGGGAAAACAGGCAATATAAACAGAATTCTATGCAACAATATGAGGGAGCAGTTGCCAATTGTCCAAATTACAAATTCTGAAAGATTTCCAGAGATATAATGGCCACCAAAAGTTGGTACATTCAAGGAAGACTTCTCAGATATCAAGCACGTATGATGGGTTTTTGTTTGGGGATTGGGGTACAGATCAGAATAAAGTGGTAGCGGTAATGGTATGTGTGAGTTTTGTGCATGTGTGTGTGAGTGAGATAAGGAAGGGATACAGGGTTGTATATGCCATGTTCTGCAATTCATCAGCTCATCTCTGGGTAACAGAAGGTGTACCCACAAGGAGTGGATGCCAAGAAATATTTGAAACTATATTATGGTCCTAGCCGGTTTGGCTCAGTGCATAGAGCATCAGCCTTCAGATGGAAGGGTCCCAGGTTCAATTCCAGTCAAGGGCATGTACCTCGGTTGCAGGCTCCTCCCCAACCCAGGCCCTGGTCGAGGTGCCTGCAGGAGGCAACCAATGGATGTGTTTCTCTCAAACTGATGCTTTCCTCTGTCTTTCCCTCTCTCTTTCACTCTCTCTAAAATCAATGGAACAATATCCTCGGGTGAGGATTTAAAAACTGTATTATGGAAAAAACATTGTCCTGAGAACGGTTGAGGGAATAATAATTTATACGGTCAAATGATCACAGAAAATGATGCAAACTAAATGCATCTTTTAAAAATACAAAGCAAGAGTACATATAAAATTTTTGGCATACCAATCTCCATCCTGGAGAAGAGATTTCTTTTTCCCTCTTCATAAAATTTGAAAGTGCTGATGCATAAAAATGCCTATTGTTTGGTCTAGAAGGAGTGAACATTCACCAGAAAGTAATGGAATATGATCAAATTCTTCTGAGCAGATGGAAAACATGCACCAAGTGGTGTTTTTGAAAAATTAATCTAGTAAGCTTTAGAATGTGGAAGAAGAAGGGCTGGAACCAGGAGACCTTTCTGAATATTTGCTCTAAATCCATTCCAGCATGACTAACATAGTGTTGGGAATTTTGCTTGCTTATTTTCAAAACTTTTCTTTTTAGCTGTGGACTACTTTCAATTTAAAAAATACTAAATTAAAATTTTTGGGGTGACAATAGTTAATAAGATTATTAGGTTTCGAGTGTACAATTTGATGGTAATCGGATAAAGAAACTATTGTATGTAGTAGGTTTACAGTTGTGAGTAAGCAAAATAGAGTTAATTCTTATAGGAATATTTTTTAATTATTTTATTATTTTCCACATAAACAACTGTAATCCTACTTTTGCCATGGACTACTTTCTTTAAATAAATATTATTTAAAATCCCTATAAATAAAAAAGTGAAGCCGATCTGGATAATGAAGACAAAACAGGTGTTCTGCATAAGAGCAAGAACACAGCTGCCCTGCAGGATGTGAGTGCTAGGAGGAAATCAAGGACCTTTGCAAGGTGCAGAGGAAATACTTTTCAGGTTGCAAAATGCTAAAGTGTCCATGGGCTAAAGAGAACTGAAATAATTGGAAAGTTAGTAAAACAGGATCTCATGGAGTTAAAAATAAATTCTGGGGCTAATGAAAGAAGGAACCCCTTTTTCTCAGAGATTAAAATGAAACAAAAGCCGCTTTGGGTTTGATTTAGTTCTTACTATCCTCTCTTGAGCCTCTCATGTTCGTGTCCCTCCTCATTTTCTTTACTTTGCTATTTTCTTTTTCTGCTGCTCCCTCCCCTGTTTTTAAGTATGTCATGTTTAATTCACCTTTTGAAATTCTCAAAGATGAAACAGACATCAAAAATATGACAGGTAATAAACATAGAAAATGATGTGCATAGTAGTTGGATTTTTGTTAGTTTTTGTCAAGAAAAATCAAGATTGTTGTGGAGAACATTCTCAAAATCAGACTCCATTGCAGAAATGAAGATGTTAGGTTTTGATCAGGTAAACCTTTGCACATAATGCTTCTGTTAAGCAAATATTTAGGAGTTCTAACTGTGAGGCAGAAAGAATGGCCATAATGGGGATAATGCTCCCACACTGTGCTTCCACAAACACAGTCTGTAGTGAAATCCAGACTGAAAAAAAAGGCATGCCTTAAATTATTAAATAGTGTGACCAAATCCTCCCCCATTCAGCTTAATTCAGGCATACAGTTTCCATTTTATGCTCACTGAAACCTTCAAAAGAAATACCAGATTAAGAAGAATTAAGTCTCCTACCTCTGACATCAATCTAGGCATCCCTCTCCTATAGTAATGAATTTCAACTATTTCTTTACATTTGTACACATTTTATTTCCCAGATAAGAGTCTCCTTATAAGAAGCTTGAGCTCAGAAAGGTTATAATCTATTCTTCTTGATCAGAAAACCCTACAATGACAAATAAACTCCATTTTACCTTAATATTGTAAACCAGATTTATTAACAACCTGAGAAAAATAATTAGGGAAATGTCAGGGTAGTGGAAGAATATTGGAGAGCTTTAGGCTAGTGAAAACAAATGATATAAACACAGATGCTTGTACCTGTAAGTGAAGCAGTCACTACTTAAAACAACCCATCAGTACCAAAACAATTTATCTGCAGTTTATTAAAACTAATAGTTTTTATTAACAGTCACCTCTTGGATTTTTAAAATTTAAATATACAGATATATGCATGTATTTGCATTTTAACATCTGTTATTTAGTAATTCACAACAAAATAATGATAATGCTAGGTTTTATAGGCATTATGATTCATCTAAGAGAAAAATCCTGACTTTATTAAAAAGAAAAGAAAACATTTTCAGAGGTCAAATCCTACTAGAGAAAAATGTTTAGTTTAACAAAAGACATTGAGTCACAATCTATGTAATCATTACATATGGTATCTGACACAACATTCAAGAACACAATAGAAGATATAAATAGCCTTTCAAGATTCCTCAATGAGATTTGGCCTTCATTTTGAGTCTCTTTAAATCACAGCAAACTATACCCATCAAAAATCTCTTATTTTTCCTGTTAATCTCACCTTTTACAAGAAAATAAAGAAATAGAAACAGTATCAAAAGCTAGATCACTTACCATAAATGCCTGTTGAAATGCAGGGAAATGCCTGTGAATAAACCACAAAAATAACAGTAAATTTTAAAGGTACAGCTCTGCTCAATCCCAACACCATTTATTTCAAATTCTCTGTGGCTTGATAAAGGGATGCCCTCACATACTCAGGGTTGTGAAACCCCACTCAGTTCATGTAGGAGATGTGGAAACAGACACATTAGGTTCACTGGAAACTTTTTCTTACCAACATTCATCTCAGCTCGCAAGAGCCATCTGTTGAATTTCCAGTAATCTTGTGAACCAATTGCTAAACACAGTTATTAATAAGAAATAAAATTACATAAACTGTCACGAAATAAATTATATCTAAAAAAATACTCAGAGATCATCTCATCACTTCCTAATTTGCCACATCTTACTATTGCCCCTGTTCTTAAGATTACTTATGCCCATCCTATGTGAATGGTGGAAGTACTAGGTAATGGTGTGCTACTGAGCATCGTGTCCTCATTCCTTATTAAGTGATATGTTGATGGCTTAAAATCTGAAAATATCAATCAAGATTCATGTTGGACTATACTTGTAGGTCAATTGAAACCGTAGGTTGGCTATAGATACAAAATTTTGATAAAATTTAATAAAAGTATTCTTGAAGAATCAATTAACTATACAAAATTCTATCTAATAAAAGAATTACATGCAAATTAACCATCACTTCATGATAAATATGAGTGAATATGCAAACTGACACGACAAAGATGGCCCCGCTAGCCAGAGCCACAGAGCTGGCTGGAGAGCGGGTGGGAAGGTTTGGCATCCTGGTCGCTGGGGCAACCCAGGATGCCAAGCCTGGACAGAGAGCAGAGTAGGAGAGCGGGCTGGAGTTCCCAGTCATTTTGGTTTCTGCAGACCCTGGGCCAGAAGCAGAAGCCCAGAGCGCGGGGAGCACCAGGAATGCTGGGAATTGTAGTTCTGATGGCAGATGCATTGCATGATCTCTTGTTAGACACTGGAGCAAAGTGAGCCTGGAGCAAGTTTCTGTTGCCAGTGGGGGATGGAGGGAAAGCAAAGGTGAGAGACATAAGTAAAGTCAGAGTGTCGAGGAAAAATTAAAAGGAAGATATCCTGCAACTTCTAGGAAATCTCCACCAATGGAGCTAAGGAAAAAAAAAAAGACATCTATTATTGCATGAGCACCAAACCAAACTGGGCTGGGGTTTCAGACAATTCACTCATATGATTTCAAAGACAGACAGAAACTTCACTCTTTTATGTATCCAGGCAGATACAATGCACAACATGCATGTTTTCACAGAAGAAGACTTAACAGCACCGTTTGCTATACACCCTTCGGTAAGTCACATTTTTGGTGGCCATCTGTGTTAGTTAATTGCCATAATCAAGAATAAAAATTAAAATTTTTCTATCTCTATGACAAGCAGGTCATTACAGCTTGGAGCAAGGCAACTATCTATAATAATAAAAGTGTAATATGCTAATTAGACCGGATAGCCAAATGACCTTCCGGACATCATTCCAGACGTCCTTCCAGATGAAGCTGTGGTGGTGGGGCCGAGGCAGAGGCGGTTAGGGGCAATCAGGCAGTTAGGCGAGTAGTTAGGGGCAATCAGGCAGGCAGGCAGAGGCAGTTAGGGGAGATCAGCAGGCAGGTGAACAGTTGGGGCCATCAGGCAGACAGAGTGGTTAGGGGCAATCAGGAAGGCTGGCAGGCAAGCTTTCCGGATTGTGAGAGGGTGCAAGCAGGGCTGAAGGACCGCTCCCCAACCCCCCGCATGAATTTTGTGCAAAGGGCCTCTAGTTTAAAAAATAAAATTATATATACACATACTCATTTTTTAAGTCAGTTTTTAAACATTTACTGGCACACCACTGTTTATACCATATGCTAGGGACTAAATATTTTTCCAAATTAGGTCATAGGAGTGGAGCCTCATGATGGGGTTAATGCTTGTGTAGCAACCCGAGTTTTCCATCACATGAGGGTACATACAATGTGAAGAAGGTGGTCTGCAAACCAGGAGTAGGAGACCCTCACCAAACACCAGATTGGCTGGCACCTTGATCTTGGACTTCTCAGCCTCCAGAACTGTGGGAAATAAATATCTCTTGTTTAAGACACCCTGCCTATGGACAATTTTTAAGCAGCCCAAACTGACTAAAACACTATATTTTCTGCTTAAAGAATTAGATTGGAAGAGAAAATGAACAAATGTAAATATATAGTTAGCTCTAAATGAGACTTTCTAACAGTGGAACATGACCTGAGCATGGCAAAGTCCTCTGCCAATGTACCTTTGTGTGAAGTCAATGAAGCTGTTTTCATCCTTCTGGGCTTTCTGTTTCCAACTGAAATTAAAGATGATAACATCCACCATATAGAAATGTGCCGTGGGAATTAATAACAGAATCTGAAACTGCAGTTGCTGTTGACTGCAATAATTAGCATTATTATTGAGCTCAATAATAATGAAACATCTGTTGTTGTTTTTTTATATTTTTCAGTTACATGTATACTACATTATATTTTCCTTAACGTTTTTAGAGACTGTATGCTTATTCCCTTTACATGGATATTCTATTTTAAAAGACACAATGTGCATGATTTTGTTTTAGAGAGAATAATAATTGACTCTGTTTAGTTAACCTATATGTCTGAAAAAATAACAGTTTTTTTCTTTTCCTTTATTAGTACATGCTCATGTTTCTATCAAGAAAATAAGACAGTGTCTGGAATGATGCGGGAGCTATTTTATAATGAATTAAAGAGCTAATTCTTTGATTCCTTGTTTTCTTGAAGTTCCAAAAAAATCTGAAGAATGTTCTTGAATGACTCAACCCATCCAATGAATCAGAACCAGGAAAAGAGGGTATGAAGTGAATGCTCCTGAAAATGTTGGTGTCTCTTTACAAGCATTCACCAGGACTACCCACAGGTTTTGTTCTCAGTGCAAAAATCACCTGCAAGCTACTGTAAGCAAATTGTTACTAATCACGAGTGCTCAGAGAACCAAAATAGCCTACTTAAAAATATAAATTAGAGAGGCGTTAGTGTCATTTTTATAATGTGTGCTATGCTCACTCAGGTTCCACTGTGTCTTTTAAATGAGGTAGAGAGGTGAGTTTTGAAACTCATGCCCAGAATTTCATGGGAGGGAACTAAACACAAAAATATCACCCATCTTGTGCTTGCAGTCCAGGAAGAGAAAGGTTTCAGAACTGCTGCACGGAGCCATCAAGCGAAAGCTAGAAGATACTACAATGTTCTCAACAAGTGCACTTTCACTCCCACCTGGGCATCCTTTCAGTTTATGATTATGAGACTTGCTTCAAGGGTCTATGGGAGGATTCAGATGAGTGAGCAATATAGAGTATCTGTCTGACAAGTAATCTTGATTAATGCCAATTTCTATGTTGGACACCGTGATGCCTGCCAGACTCCACTTCATGGGGGAATTTGTTGCCCTAGAGTAGGGCTTCCCATCCTTGGCACAACTGATATTTTGGATCAGATAAGTATTTGTTGCTGGGGGCTGTCTTGTGCATTTTGAGATGTTTAGCAGCATCTTTAGACTCTATTCACTTGATGCCAGTAGCATGCCCCACTCATGACAATCAAAAATATTTCCAGACATTGTTAATGTCCCCCAAGGGGCAAAGTCACCACAGATTGAGGACCACTTCCCTCTAATCTAGAGCCTAGACCCCAGCAGTGCCATCAGGGATTGCCTTTTCAAACATTTCCTGGGATTCAAAGAGCCACCTCACTCAAGGTCATGTCCCTTCCCAAGACAATCCATCCCCAATAACTAATCAATGCAGAAGATAAAGGCTCATCTTGGCTCATTTCAGTGATGTGTACTATCTGCTTCCCTGTGCACACTCTTGCTTCCTCCCCTTCTGTTCTCCAGGTATTGATCCCGAGGGCACCCAATAATAAACATCCTGTATCCTCAACTGTCTGAGAATCTGCTTCCTGGGGAAGTAACTTGAGTTAACTCCCTTCTGCTTCCCTGTTAGGCTCAGTCATATGAGTTGTTCTCCCCTCAGACCTAGCAGAAGAGAGCACATACTGAACAATTAATGGCAACTTTCCTTTGCCTCAGCTCCCAGCTCTATCTCGGAATCAATCATGCAACTTAAAAATTGAGTCTGAATGTACCAACTGCCTTGGCTGTTTTAACAAGGACAAATAGCTTCATCTGAAAATGACATTGTTGCCTTGAATGTGAAGGCAAACAGATGTTTAATGGAGGATAACTTTGGTAATATTATTGCATTAATTCAAACAAAAAAGGCAGTGATAAAGCAGAGGTGGAAATGCAATATCCACCTCTGGAAAATATTTTATGTAAAACAACTTTACATATAATTCATCCAACTAAATCTCCTCCATTAATCATTTATTATTACTCAAGAGAGAAAGAGAAAGATTAAGATAAAAAAGAATGAGCAACTAAGCTCAACAGAGGGATTTTATGGCACATGTTCTGTGCTCTTGGTCATAATAAAGTTCTGACGGAGCCACCAGGAGTGTGTAGCATGAAATTTCTTTATTTCAAAACTATACTTAACATATACTCATACTTAACTTTATACTTAACACCTCCCACAAAAGTTCTCTCCCGTGGAAGAACGGTAGATGGGACCAAAACGCAGGCCAATTTTGCCTGTATTGTTTTAAGTGTACATACGTCAGCAGTCACCTATAGAACTTGGAGAATGACATCACCAGCCTAATTTATAAGTCTCTAGATTCTTCTTCCAGCAAGACCAAAGAGCAAGAAGTCTCTGTACTAAGCGAGTCTGAGCATATAGCCATCAGAAACCTGCTTCACAGCACTTGAATTTTATCTAATTTTTCCCCCAAATCAGTATGCATTTTCTCTCTTGGGAGAACAAAATGTTCATTCGACTTAGAGAGTCAAAGAGGATTTTCCTTTCGTGAAATTACAAATTGGGAAAATGCTTCCTTATTCCAGCATGTGCATTCCAAGTAGATTCGTAAAAACACAAATCCTTAAGGCTGTATGC